AATAATATAAATATTTCCTGGCCGACTGGGAGATGTTATGTTGACTCTTTCAGTTCGAACCAGAATTCTCTCTTCTCTCTTTCTCTCTCTCTTTCACCTTTCTTCTTCTACATAACTGATCTCAGACAGGCAGAACTCTAAGGCAGACCCGAATTCTAACACCATGTATGGCTATACCTGCTATTACGGCTGTCCAACTCAGTGTGTCCCTTTCAGGCAGTTCTTCAAAAACTCTAATAGCTTTTTGAATACTTCCACATCTCCCATGCATGTCCACAAGAGCTGTTCCAAGTATCAAATTCACATTTAGCTTATGCCTAAGCACATAGTTGTGTGCTTTTTCTCCTTGTTCAAGGGCTCCCAGATGAGCATATGAAGCTAAAACACTAACCATGACTGTTTCATTTGCTTGTACTCCTGACTGTTTAATGATTTAACCATGGGCTTGAATGCCCATTCCTACACATCTCAGCACATGGTTTCACTAAATATGGGAATGTTAGATTGTCTGGAAGGAGGCCTTCCTGCTGAAGCTTTCTATAGAATTGGAAGGATTGTTGGGGGGTTCTTGCTGCCTGAATAAACTCTTACCATTGCATTGTAGATGAAGAGGTTGGGGTTTTGAAATTGGGAGAAGATTCGTTGGGCATAATCTAGAAAGCTTGTTCCATGGTTGGGGTTTGTGCAAAAGCCGATCAGTCAGCTAGCTGCGAATATGTCAGTGATGATATGGGTTCTGATCATATAGGCATGAATTACTTTCAGGTGAGAAATGTTGGAGCAAGTTTTCAACAATAAGAGTTTTGGGTTATTTAATCTGAGTGTTCTAACTACATAACTACAGATACTACTATTACTGCTACTGCTACAATCATTCATGATTAGATTCCTCCAATGGTTTCAGAGATGGTTAGAAACTTGAAAATGGACCTGGGGGGGGAGACTAGTCTATAAACTGAGATTCATTGCAAGCTGGGTTTTGAGTTTTTGTGAGCTATTCTTTTAAATGATAATCAGAATTTAGGGCTAAAAAATAGAAAAGCAAAAACATAAAGAGAATGATACTGAGATAACCTCAACAAGTCCAAGGGATGGTGTTCATGCCACAGTCTTTCAAGAGGACCACCACCATATTTTAGATGGGGGAACAACCTTCACCTAATGGAAAGAAAAGGAAGAGAGTGCCTGAGAGCCATTCTCAACTTGATCCCAGACAGGTAAGCTAGGTTATATTTTTATGCTCTTTTTATTTTCAAGATATTGATGTTTACTCTTGTGTTATTTAAGATATTAATTTTTTTCCACTCCCCATGGGTAACAGAGTGAGATTGAACCGCAAAGAGATGCTTCACAGGAGACGCTAGTTAGTCTCAAGGAGCAGAATGCAGGCACTAATTCACATTTGTAAGTTAACAGGTAAACAAGTTAAAGACCAGTCCCAGAATGGGGAAGGTCCAAAAGAAGATTACATCCATGTAAGAGCAAAAAGAGCCCAAGCTACCAATAGTGACAGCCTGGAAGAGAGGGTGAGTTCTTATTATGAGTTATCCATGTTTCTCATGGTGGAACTTCCTTGTCTTCAGATTTTGAGCATGTGTATTTCAATATATGGGTTAGAAGAGAAAAGATTAGTGAGCGGGTTAGATATCTTCAAGATCTTGTTCCAGGATGCAACAAGGTACTTTAAGAATTTAAATACTGTATTTTTGTGCTTGTGCAAGCTCTTGTTTAGCTTCTCTTAACTTTTAATTAAATTGCTGTCATCTACAATTATAGATTACTGGGAAGGCAGTAATGCTCGATCAGATTATCAACTATGTGCAGTCACTGCAACGACAGGTTGAGGTATGATACATTCTGAAAGCCAGGAGATTTATACATTATGAGAAAAGTATAGTCCATGAACTCCTCTGTACCCTTACCAAGAAAAGAAGGGAAGAAGAAAAAGAAAACTCCACAGAATATGGACATCTAGACTAACTGTTCAGCACATAATGATCCATTATTCCAAAAATCAATTCCACTAGATGCCACTAATAGCTGTTTTATCTGTCATTTGCCTTCTTTTTTATTCAAACTCTTGAGCCAATTTCTGAGCCATCCACGTTTCAGCACTAAAATGAAAGGCATTCATTTGATCTTTTGGTTCTAGTCCTTGGGAGTTATTTCTATGACAGAATCTGAAGCTCTTCTTTAATGGGAAACAATATCCCATCTCCCATAAGTTGATCACTTAGCTTCTGTTGCTCAGCATTTACTGATCATGTGGATGTGGACTGAGCTCACATCTGCTGTGACCATTGTACAAATTCTTGCAATTGCCCAATAATACATGGACATGATTCTATTTGTTTTAAATTAAAAATACCAGGTGATCTGCTTTTTGATTGGATCACCAGTTTGTCCTTGTTTTATTCGTCCATCACAGGAATATGCCCTGACCATGGTCGCAGCAGATGCTAGCACAAGCAGACCACTGCAAGGTCAGTTAATAGTGTTCTAGCTTTCTTTGTCCAAGTATGGAGATGATTTCTTTTATAATGGACCTCTTGTTATGTTTTGCATGTTATACTATGCAAAATTAAATGCTGAACCTTAGGATTTTCTGCACATTTTCCTTTTAATAACTGGAATCAATAATTTAGCTTATCATGTTATTTACCAAAAAAGAAAGTTATTGTTTCTTAATGTTATTGCCCAATTGTTGTGATCTAAAGGGCATTACATATTTTGTTAATGCAGTTTCTGTCTGTGAAACTTGCCACTGTCAATCCCGAGATAAACATTGATATAGAACAGGTTCTATCAAAATATAAGTAAGATTGAGGTAAATGCTAGAAGTTCTATAAATAAAATGTTAAACATAAATTCTCTAGAGCTTGTTATGAATTTTATTTCAGTTCATTTCACTGTAGATTCTTCATTTGCGGGGGTGGCAGTTCAGGTATTCTTGGATTTACTCCAGCAATGAGCTCCTCTCATCCACAACACATCACTCCGCCAGAGGGAGCCTTTCTAGTCCAGGGTACAATTCCACAGTTAACCACCATGCCTAGCTAAAGGATCTTCTTTTCCTTTTCCTTCCACTCCTCTTTTTCTTTGTCAGAGAAAAATTATTCAAGACCTCTTACTACAGGTACCTAGTGCACGGGAAGATGAGCTTCAAAGTGCTTTGCAATTGGGGTTTGTTCCTAATCCAGCCGTGAACAATCTTGGACAGAATGGTAAAAGAAGGGAGACAGTTGGTTTTAGATTGTTTTCAAGTACAACTTGGATTTATCCTGAATGTATTTTACGCTTTGCAGGCAGCATGAAGGCGGAGCCATAAATGTGAGTTTGAAGGGTAGTTGCATCCCTTCTAACAGAAAGCTTCAACCAGTCTTCATTTAATTACACACTTTTACTACAAGATCAGTAGGAAAAAAATTCTTCAGAGTTGTATAGTCCATTGCTCCTAACCATTTGTTCTTCGAGTTTTAGCTGTAGAAGGTAACTTCATAGGCACACATCGTGTATAGTCAGACAGCATACATGACTTGATCGGGAGAGATGATTGTTTTCATGGGTGTTATAGTATAGAGGTTGCATTTGATAAGCTTTATCAGAGTTTTCAGAATCTGTAACAAAATTATTGTTAATAGAGTGCACTAAGTTAAGAAATGTGTTTGAAAATCTTAAGTCCAGATGGACTCTTTCTTGCCCCTTTTCAAGAATCTTGCCTTAGTTCTCAAGGGGTGGACTTCCCAGTGAGAGAAATCTGGAGTAAGCCTATCCCACTAAAAATTCAAGTTTTCTGATGGGAAATTTTCCTTGGAAAGGTAATACATGTAATGTGCTGCAGAGAAGAAGGTCCTCTTCTTGCCTTTCTCTTCATATGTGCTTCTTATGTAAGGGTAGTGGAGAAACCCTCTCCCATTTACTAATCTTTTGTTCCTTTATACTTTGTATTTGAGTGGGATCCCCCTCAAAAGGTGGTGGACATCTTCAACCAAAACTTCTTGAGGCAACCAAAGAAAAGAGAGAGAATAATGTGGAGAGCTACTAAGGCAGCAGTTACTTGGGTGGTGTGGGAAGTGAGGAATAATAGAATTTTCACCGGAAAGAATAGGACTTTGGAGGAGATAATAGATGGTATAAAAGTGAAGGTTGCACTTTGGATTAAAACATTGGACTGCTTTCAGAATTTCTTAGTCACTGACATTGTAAGGGCATGGTAGGAGGTAGTAGCATAGTCCTCCAGAGAAAAAGCAAGAATAAGAGTGGAGTGCAAACCCCCAGAAGGAAGCAAAGTAACATTGAGCTTTGACGGGAGCTCCTTGGGTAACCTAGGCATGGCAGGACAGGTGGAGCAATCAGAAATTCGGGGAGTAGGATATTGGCATTATATTCAGGGCCAATTGGTTCCACTTAGGATTGGAGACCAAGAGATAACACAATGTGACCATTTCTAGTACCTCGGTTCAATAATTCATAACAAAGGAGAGATTGAGGAGGATGTCACCCAAAGAAATTAGAGCAGGATGGGAAAAACAGAGGGGTGCATCTGAACTTTTATGTGATAGGCGAATATCACTTAGCTTAAAAGGAAAATTCTATAAAACAGTTGTAAGGCCAGCTATGTTGTATGGGGCGGAGTGTTGACCAGTCAAGAAACATGTCCAGGAAATGAATGCGGTAGAAATGTGAATGCTAAGATGGATGAGTGGAAAAACTACGAAGGATAGGATTAGTAATGAAGTTATCTGTAGGAACCGAGGAGTAGCTCCAATAGGTGATAAAATGAGAGAGTAGACCAAGATGGTTTGGGCACGTGCATGGAAGACCACCAACTGCATCAATTAGAAGAAGTGATTTGTTACACATTGAAAGGGCTAGAAGAGCTCGAGGTAGACCAAATTGGACATGGGTAGTAGTAAGAAATGATATAAGCACTAATAGTTTAACAGTGTTTATGGCTTTAATAGAATGGATTGGCAAAACAGGACTCATGTAGCTGACCCAATATAGTTGGGATAAGGCACGGATGATGATGATGATAATGATGATTCAGGGCCATTGCAAACTCTGTGAAGGCTGAATTGATGGCATTGTTGTGTGGTCTCCAGCTGGCAAAGCAACTGGGTTTCAGACAAGTGGTGGTGGAAGGGGATTCAAAAGTAATTATTTCATGGGCGAGATGTAATAGAAATATTCCGTTGAATCTCAAACATGTTTACAAGGAAATTGAAAGGATTGCAAAGGATTTAAATGTTGAATTCAAGTGGGTAAGGAGTGCAAGTGGGTTAAGCTGATTCCCTTGCTAAACAAGGGGCTGCAAGGTAGAATTTGTACTGGGCTTCTTTGTAACCTACCTTATGATATTGGGGATAACATTCTTGTCATCAAATTTTACTGTTTTCATATATAACTAATTTAATAAAATAAACTTTCTGCTGATAAAAAAAATAAAGACCCCAGGACCAACATTGGGTAGGGCCCTTATCTAATGATGATTGTGCTCATCAAAGAAAGAGATTTTGGGGCATGGCAACTTCTGAAAGCCTAGAAGAGAAAAGAATATGGATTGAAAGAGAGGTGCAATTCTGAGGAGGCAATTATTTAGTTTCCAAACATATTTGGATTAGATTAACCATGTCATGGGATTACATGATATTGTTACAGTTGTTGATCAAAGAGAATAGAGCATTCTTTTACAATGTCACTTGGGAAATTCCAACTACTTGTTTAACCAATGCATGCAGTATCTTGTACATATCATCACGGTTACAGCAAACATGCAGCATCATATTTTCAAACCAATGTATTCTTACAGTTATTTTTACACAATTTGTGATGGTTATTTTAGCTCTATAATAATCTTTAAGATGATTTAATTATTTTTTGAACTCTTAAAAGTTTTTATCCTTTTTGCCTATTTGAACTACGTGGTATTTGATAGTAAACTAGTCGAAATAATTATGTTATTTAATTTGTCCTAATTGACTTTATGATAGAAGGTTTCTTTGTAGGTGGATTAACTGAAAGGAAAGGACAATTGACTGCATATCATGCATTTCATATATATATACTTACATAGGTATTTTTTAGATATATTTATTTGCTTTTTTTAGAAGAAGTATCAATTCAATAAAAAGAAAGTACAACCAGAGGCTGTACAATTGAAGTACAAAGATAGCGCTCAAACTACATAACCAATGGGAGATACAAACAGGCTTTTAAAGTCAAAAAGAGAACTGTAAAAAGAACTATCAGCTTTTAGCTGAATGGAAGACCAGGAGAACAGCTTCCCCACAATCGTCTGCCACACTTCCTCTTCTTGACAGCTTTTGTTTTGGAATATCCTTGAGTTTCTTTCTTGCCACATCAACCATAACACAGCACCTGGAATCAGATACCGTAGAACTTTCCCTTTCTTGCTTAGGCCTTGTACCCTCCAACTGTTGACAAAATCAATATTGATTCTGGGTAGCAACTTCTGATTGCAAAAATTCTGAGGGTCCGCACCCGTATTTTGTAACTGAAGCTGCAATGCAATAACAGGTGGTCAATAGTCTCATCATCACTGTTGCACAAGGCACATCTTTTAGAATCAATCCACACCCCTCCTGACCAGATTGTCTCTAGTAGGAATCTTGTTCAGGTAAGTAGCCCAAATAAATGAATAGATAAAAGAGATATTCTATGGAATGTGCTTGCACCATATTATATGCACAGGAAAATCCAGATCTACTTCCTCTTGGGCCAGCCTACCATAGAGAGATTTCACCGAGAACTGGCCTTTGCTATCTGCAACCCAAAACCTTTTATCAGCTGCATTAGGGTCGATTTGAGTGTTGTACAGCCTTTGAAGAAGCCTACTGAAAGGTTCAATCTCCCAATCAGTCAAACCCTTCTGAACAGGGGATTCCAGACAAGCATCCCATTTTGAGACTGGACATATTCAGCTGCTTTCGCCTCCTTGTTTATTGCAATTGCAAATAATTCTGGGAAATCATCCTTAAGTGTATTGTTACCACTCCATCGATCCAACCAGAAGTTAACTCTAGTACCCCTTCCCACTACAAATTTGATTTCCTTGCTGAAAGCGTTATAGCTTTTTTCAATTCCCTTCTAAACTAGGGACCCAACCTTCACATATTGTACCATATTTTGCTTCAATTACTCTCCTCCACAAGCAGTTCCCTTGGTTACCAAACCTCCAAAACCACTTGCCAAGTGAGGCTAAATTCATTTCCCGAATTCTTCTAATTCCTAGCCCTCCATTCTTTTTTTGTTTACACACCTTCCCCAGTTAACTAAATGAATTTTCTTGCTCTCCCTCCACCCCATCCACAAAAACTCTCTTATTTCTATTTCATATAAATGACAATGCATCAGCTTTTATGGGTTTCTGATGTGGTGGGTTCCTGATCCTCAAGGGTGTGAAATCCTGTCTTTAGTTAACTTGCATCAGTAACTTCTTTAGGCATCTATGGGATCTCTTATTCTGCCTAAATTCCCTTTTTATTGTTTTTATCTGTTTGGTGTGATAAGGTACATTCATAGGGAAACATGTGGGCTATGTATTTGGGCACTCTAATTTCTGTTATTGATGTTGCAGGGAAACATGTAGAGAGGCATTTGGAATCTTTCCCCCGACAACCTGTATTCAGTGCCATTCTTTGGGAAGTCAGATAACCGTGCCTGTTGAAATCACATGTTAGGAGTTCAGTTTTTAGGCTTTCATCCATAGTGTTTGACCATTCACTTTGGCTATTCGATCTTCCTTCCTGTTGACTAATATACTGACACCTTAAATAACTGTGCTTCTAGGAGGACCAAAGGCGGCATGTGTTGCTTGTGCAGGTTTTGCTACGCTTTCTGTTCTGATCGAGAAATTTCTTGACAGACATGATTGGTTCAATGGGAAACTTTGTATACTGATTCTTCTCGGCATACTTAGTTGAGTTGATATTGTGAAGTGCAGATCTACTCAATTTTCCAAATCAGTGAGGATATTCCTTATTTTTCAACTTAATCATGATTCATTTGTTTCCCAATTTTTTTAGGGCATGTCACAAGCAACTTGTTACAGCCCTTCTGACGTGGTTTCTTTGGTCGGCTGAATGCTACCAAAGCAATCAAATTGATTTAATGGTATAGAAACTATACATGTAACAATTTAACAATTCAATAATAAAATTCATGGAGGACATGTCAGGAATTCCTTTTGGTAGGTTTACTCCATGTCTATGAAGACAGGTTGAAAACTGTTCTAGATTTACCATTAACAGGATTAATTCCTTCAGCACTTGGGTCATAACCTTGTTATTCACGGAAAGTTTCATCTCATCATTCTTTATTATTCCTTTCCCTTCTCTGTGTGTGTTGAAGGGGAGGGGCATTGATTATTTCCTTCCTTTGTTTTGATTGGTTATTAAACTTGTTCATGGACCTGGCTCGAACCCGATACAGTGCAAGTCAAACCCAAAACCCGACCTGTGAACAGGTCGCCTATGGAGTGGTTGAGGGTTTTGTTTGGTTATGTATGATATATGTATTGATTTCAGGGTCACGGAAACACTAAATATTATATTTAGAGGAGAAATGTTAGCTGAATGTAATAGCTGTGGAGTCAATGATATTATTATGACATCTTTCCACCCCCAGTAATAAAAGAATCCGGCTTCGGTCCAGGCAGCTTCAGTCAGGGCCGTTCGTGCGGCACAATAATGCACCACGTGTTCTTAAAATGTGCGCGTGTTTGATACGTGCGAGGTGCATCCAACCCTTACATTCAAGCCCTGAAGCCCAACTCAGAGAGAGAGAGAGAGAGAGAGTGCGTATGTGCTGTCTAAAAAAAGAAAAGGGAAACACAACGAAAATCGAAGAGAAATAAAAGGGAAGAAAGAAGACGAAAACAAAAAAGAAAAACCCTAGTTTTGGAAAAAAAAAAAAAAAGGAGAAAAAGATGGCAAATTTGCATAGTGGTTGAAGGAAGAGATGAGAAACCATGGTGAATAACAGGGTTACAGGGACGGAAACATGGGGTACTTGAGAGGAGCTATAGCTAGCATGCGTCGTTAACCGGCACGGGACCAATAGATGGGACTCCGTCGCCATGGAAATGCAAAACCAAAGCTCTGCCCTTCATTTACTAACCGCTCAGAACTGTATACAGAAACAACATGACCTTAAACGTCGATTCACGTCGAAAGACGACAAAACCAACGAATTCTTCTCATCATCTTTTGGTGCCATTTTTGTATACGTTAGATTTTCAAAGATCTGAATTAAAAATATTGGTTATTTCCTTTTTTCATTTTGGTTGGGCGTCGAAGGAAGGGATCTTTGGTTTTCATTATGAACTAGAGTTTTCTTTGTCATTTGCGTTTCATTTTACAGGTCTTCGCAATTGAAAGTGAAGATTGAAAGAAGAGCACGAGCGGAGCTTGAGAGAGAAAGGTAGAGAAACCAGATCTAGAAAAGGACTCGGAGAAATTCAGAGCTAAAGAGGGACAAAAGGAGAGAGATGATGAGCCGGAAAATTCCTCGCCGGAAAACGTCGACAGCAAACCTGTTACCAGCGAAGAATCCGACCATGAAAACCAGTTGTTCAATGAATCCAATTCGACAGATCCGAAGCGTGGCACTCGCGATAACGGCGTTGAAGAGTCGGAGAAGAAACAGGAACCGGTGGAAACCATTACCAGAAGACTGGATCCGGTTTCTGGTGACTTACCGGTCGGCCGACTTGGGCGATCAGGATTATCTTAGACTGGGTGCTCACGCTGCTACACTCGTCGGTGAATACACTTGAACAAGAGAATCAGGGGCGAGAGAGGTGCGGGATGGAATGAAACCAGGAATGAGGAGTTAAATTCACCTCGCACGTATCAAATACGCACACGTTGTAAGAACACGTGGTGCGTTATTATGCTGTGCGACTGGACTGAAGCGGGACTCGTAATAAAATACATGAATTGGCATATACTTTTTTACCGAAAAGTATATGCCAATTAATTTCTAATTGTGGGCCCCATATACTTTTTTACCGAAAAAGATACGCTAGAATTCTGAATTCCACTGAAACCTACAATAATTTAAAATGTCAAATTACCCCCATTCTATGCATCAATGCCCGCTCGTAAATTCGCATCAATTCTAAGCAGGCACCTACCCCAATTGCACATTGAGCCTAACAATTCTGACGCTGGGCTGAACTATCATTGCCCTCTTTTTTAATGGCATGGAGCATTACCATTAGTTGTTCGTCAAACAGCAATCGTGTTATTGAATAAATTTACTAATGCTATCTCGTTCATTCGTCTAGGTTCCTAAAGTTCATGAGTTCAACGGAAGCCATTTTTTTATATAGAAGGAATTTTTTATAGAAACAAAAGGTATACAAGATGGGGGGTGTGAGCTCCGGGAAGCTCAAGGTCAGCTCAAAAGAATTGGAGTTGCCACCCATTGTTTAGAGGAAATAGGCCCTCATTTTCAGTTATCAAAAATCGATCTAAGGCACACAACCAAGAGATTCGAGTCTCAAGAATTGGGAGAGGGAAGGTGTTAGGCACCCCTCTCTCCAAGCTGTTGTTGCAGCCCAAAATGGGAGTTGTCCAGGCTTAGTTTCTCTCACAGAAAACATAAATGGTTGCAAGAGTTTCTTAAATCTGGAGGAACATGCTTTCAACTCCTCATAATACCGATTTTGAGGTGATGTTATCGGGTCTTAGGTATTGATTTCCCTAAAACCCTCGTCTCGCTGCCTTTACTCTCAATCAATAAGAAATTGCAAACAATGGTTCTCCAATATTTCATAACCTCAAGCAACCTAGAAAAACTAAAAAAAAAAAGACTTACTTTCTGTATGTGCCTTAACAGAAGTTTTCCAACAGCTCGAAATGAGGTAGAACGAAACTTGAATGGGTTCTTGAGCTACGGAGTGCTTCCAATTGTGGCAACTTCCACTTGAAATTGGATGAGGCGAATTTGGGATTTGGGGTTTAGATTACTTCCAAGTTTCAGGTGAACACGAGGTAGTATGGGTTAGAAGAAAGCTCCATTCTCTCTCTCTCTCTCTCTAGGGGACTCCCCAAGGTTTTCTCTCTTTTGTCCCTTCCTCACGTTACCTCCCAGGTCCCCCCTTTCAAGTTCAAGCTAGGCCTCTATTTATAGAGGCCATGGAAGGAGACGGGTTTGAAATTTGCTCAGCTACAGTGCCTATGGTTGAGCAGAGTTCTTTCACTAAAATAAGCAAAGATTCTTCAAAGAAATGGGTGTACAGTCAAGATTTCCTATTTGGTGAAACTCTTTCTTTGATTTGGGGCGGTTTTCCTATGTTTTGTGCAGCCAATGGGAGTTTAGGGCGTGTCAGACGTTGCAGTCTCGTATTTGGGGCTAATAGTGGCAGAAAATGTAAATTTGATGAACTTTTTAAAGTGGTTTTGTCTTTTCTTAGTTTTAAGTAGGGGTTTGTTTGGTATTTTGGATTTTTTAAGCCTATTAGACTCTGTTTCATTGGTTCAGGTGTTATAATGGATCAATAATGGGTCTGACATCAGCCATCACCCATATAAGTTTTCAGGTTAGGCTAGATGACATGGCGATTTAATATGGTGCGTCAAAACGACATCTTTCTAGTTTAATGGTCAAATGTGCGAATATGGTCATGAAATTTGGTGTCCTAGGGTTTTTTGGGTTTCTGGACACAGTGGTGAGGTCTGATCGGACAAACAGGGTCGGGAGGATTGAGATATGTGGCTGACAAGTTCAAATTAATAAGATTTGCTAAAACAAAGTCTTTGTTCGATAAAGGGTCAAACGGGGGAATTTTGGGATAAAATTTGGTGGGTTGGAATTTTTTATCACATTGAATCTAATGGAAGTGATGGGTTTTCGATCAGAGCTATAGATTGACTGATTTAGTTCAAATCATGATCTTAGCTTGTGATTTTTTAATCACAATAAGGTTTGAAATGAAATCTTACTTTTTCAACGGTCAAACGGAGGTGTTTGGTCGTGAGATTTGACATGGTGAGGTTTTTTGGGTTTCTAAACACAAGTAAGGTCTGATTTGTCACATAAAGTTCGGACGATGGTTGGTAGGCTCTAATTAATGAGATTTGTTGGAATAGGATCTAGGCTTGATGGGGGAGTAAATGAGGGAATCTTGAGCTACAATTTGGTGGGCATGCATGGATTAAGGGGAGGATTCAAGGTGATGGTTCTGATATGAGAAAGATAAGGTCAATCTTGGTAATTATTCAGGGTCTTGGGATCTTGGTAGATTTATGGTGGGATTCGCTAGTTGATTACTTCCTAGTGATCTTGGGGTGATGGATATATTGGATTTGATTTTGGAGGAGTTGGGATTTGGATATCGCATAGATTGGGGCCGTTAGAAAGGAGTTGGTGTGATGAATAGTGGATCTTTAGAGTTTAGTCATGAAAATTAATGTGTAACTAGGTTGTATTTTTCAAAGTATAAGGATGATGTCTGATCGGATGTTGATATTGATCTCAAAGCTCTTATTTGTCTTATGGGTTGAGTGAGAGGAGGGTATTTCGGATTTGGGGAAGTCTCGAATTGATCTGGTTATGTTTTCGAGTATCCGGGGTCCAAGAGGAGAGTACCAAGAGGTGCGGTGAAGGAACCGAACAAAAAACTGGGTGCTAATAGGGGGTATCACATCCCCACAAATCACTAAAAACAAATGAAATCTAAAGACCATTTGGTCTTACAATGGTTAAAAGAGATAGAACTAGGCAAGGATCTAAGAGATTCATTTGCAATCCAATCGGCCACTTGGTTGGCTTCCATGAAGAAATGTTTGTACCACACTCCATACTTGAACCAGTCCTTCGTCTCTAGGTGGTCTTGGATAATATTCTCTATTCTCCATGGTGAGGTAACTTGACCCTTAAGGTATGAAATAACAAGGCGAGGGTCTCCCTCAATGGTAATAGGAAACTATGAAAAATTGGCTGCCAAATTATGTGCTTCCTAAGTAGCCCAAGCTTCATCTGCATTGATGGTAGAGAAACTGAGGGAGTAACCTTTGTAATCAACTATTTTACCTAAATGGTTTCTAGCAATTATCATAGCAGAACATAGACCATCTTTTGAACATAAAGCATCGAAATTTATTCTTATGGTTTCGGGGTCAGGGGAAATCCATTT